GAAGTAGGTACTAGAAAAACTGCATGTCACAGCACAAAGAAACATGGTTATAGTTACATTATCCTCTTCCTGCTGATACCACTTATTTAAAAAGTCCTAGTCAAGACTAACAAATCAGCTTATCTTCTATGACATACAAAAACAGAGATTAAAAAACAACAGTGAATATTACTATCTTCATACATTATCATAGGATATAAAAAGCTATTAAATTCATCAGTGTCAACAGCAAAGCATTATCCCCTACCTCACTGTATCACTGGAAGGTAGACACTTGATTCAGCAATACTCATTAACTGCCAGGTAGATTACCTGTGCTGACTGTAGTAAAAGCCATTTACAATCAATTTAGGAAGTAAAAACATTAGTCAAACATACAGAGACACAAACACCAAAAATAATGTGTTTCGTATGTACAGATATCCATACTTGGGGCACGGCTATCAAGTAATAAGACTGATTCAAAACTTTATAATCCTAGTACATTAAAATATATTGCCAGAGGATAATGGTCCCATATAAGAAAAAAATGTCCATATGAACAAGCCTGTGATTTATTGCAAAGCATAATTATATAGCAAATTTCAAGAAGTGTGAAATGATTTTCAAAACCAAAATTTTAAGTTTAATGGCTTAAGCCACAGTCTCAGTTACTTTTTGGAGATTTCAGAAATAGTAGGGGTTGAAGAATGCTTTTCCTTTTTTCTCTTCTTTTTTTCCTTTTTGTGATGTTTCCCCTTTTTTGACTTATTCTTTTTTTCTTTTTTCTTTTCTTTCTTCTGATATTTTTGTTTCTTTTGTTTTGAAGTGTCCTCTTCAGCAGAACTGGATGAATAAGACCTATGGGCAATAATGTACACTGACTGATAAGTGCATTTATAGCTGATAGGTAAATTTAAATGGGATCTGATCTGCCTTAAATCCTTCTTGGAGCAAGGTGAGGGTATAACAAAGAAACTCACAATGTGCGTACATATTTGCATTCTCTTAAAGTGCTGAGTTTAGAATTTTTGCTACTTAGTCACAGAAACTGACAAAACAAATATCTCTATTCTGCTCAACTCTAGTTATATAAGTTTCATACAGTTATATATAGTTACATAGGTATAGCTTTGTATAGTTATATAAATTATAAATTCAGTAAGAATGAAAATTATTTTTCTGTTTTTCACCCTATAGTACCATTCAAAATCAGATCATTTACCATGCCTTATTATACACTCAATTCACTTGTGTATGCAATAATGTCTTAGCATATTCCAGAGATTTTCAACTATTTTCATCTCATGGCACACAAACTAATTAGTAAAATTCTGTGGCACACCAAAAATATATTACATTTTTGCTGATCTGATAAAAAAAAAAAGGTGTAATTTTGATTTATTCACACTGGACGGCTATTGTGTTGGCTGTCTTTTTTTTTTTTTTTTTTTTTTTGACAGACTAAAGGAAAAGAAGTCAGTGCCCCTGACTAAATAGTAGTCAAGTGTTACATGTTTTAAAAATTCCTGTGGCATACCAGCTGAAAATCGCTGGCATATTCTCTTAAAAGAGCCACAAAGGAATGTGATTATATAAAAAGGGTTATAATTATACACCTCAGTATAAATGGATGAAAGCTGAAAATTAGCAAAATAAAAGCATTTTTTCTCTCTCTTAATTTTGTTCCATCACTATGTATCCCCCCTGCACCGTCTTCCACCTCCACCCACTCCCCTCCCCGCCTCAGGCAGGACACTGTTGTCCATGTCCGTCCACGTCCATGAGTTTTCTCTCTTTTTTTTCTTTTTTTGCTCAACCCCTTCAGTGTTAATTCTTTTGATTTTTCAAGTTAAAGTACTTGATTCCTCTTGATGCAGATAAATACTGTCATTTCAAAACAATTTTCACTAGTTGCAGAAGAGGTACTTTTAAATGAATACTCCATATAAATAAATTAGGATGCTTTATCATTATAATTTATTTTTCTAACATTACTGTAATACTAAATGTGGAAAAAATTATAGAAGTCCTGGAAGTAGGGAACAGACTGACAAACTTCAGAGGGAAGGGGTTGGAGGTGGGAAGAGATAAACCAAAGAACTCATATGCATATGTGCACAACGAATCAACACGACAACAATGTGGAGAGGGCAGGGGCTGGTGGAAGTGGGGGGGGTCAATGGAGAAAAGGAGGAAACATTTGTAATACTTTCAACAATAAAGATTGAAAAAAAAAGAAAACCCAGAAAAGTTATACAAAACCTTTATATAAGGTTTTAAGGCCTTATATAAAGTGTGCAACAACCCACCCTTACCCAAACCCCAAATACACATGACTAGACAGAAACTGAGTTATTTTAAGATACAATAGACATTTCAAGAGATAGTTCAGGGATCTAGACATTAGAAGTTAAAACCTAAACTAAAAAAAACTGACAGAGACTTAAAGAGGAGAAAAAGTAAATGCATGCATGAGACTACAAGGTACGTCTGTAGACTGACTTGTGTGAACTCCCTGACTGCCTTCCTTGTTTAGGGACTGAGTGTCCCTGCTTTGTGAGGTTGTATTCCTTTCTCCTCCTTGTCTACTAACTTAAGACTTCTGGCCATTTTCTGAGCTTATTTCTCATGTATTTTCTTACTCCCTTTTCAACTCTATCATTCTCAACCCTTCTCTGTCTTCCTTTTTTAAAGATCCTGCTTGACCTCTGGATTCTGACTAGAGTTTCTCTGCCTGCCCATTTGTTATTGTTGTTGTTGTTAATCCTCACCCAAGGATATTTTTCCCATTGATTTTTTTTTTAAAGAGAGAGGAAAGGAAAGAGAAACAGCAATGTGAGAAATATCAATTGGCCACCTCCTGCACACCCCCTACTGGAGATGAGGTCTGCAACCTGGGCATGTGCCCTGACATCAAACCAGGACCTCTCAGTCCATGGGATGATGCTCAATCCATTGAGCCACGCCGGCTGGGCTCCACTGAATGTTTTAGAGAGAGTGGAGAGGAGGGAGGCAGGAAGAAGGAGGGAAGGAGGGAAAGAGAGAGGGAGGAAGAAAGAGAAGGAGAGAGAAAAACAGTGCTGTGAGAGAGACACATCTATTGGTTGCCCCAGTGCCGAGGATTGAACCTGCAACCCAGGTACATGCCCTTGACCGGGAATCAAATCTGCTGTCCTTCAGTGCATGGACCGATGCTCCAACCACTGAGCCAAACCAGCCAGGGCTCTGCCTGCACACTTTTTCTTTGGTCTTTTTATTCTGGATTATCATTTTAAAAAATATTTTAATTTAACTTATTTTTTATTGTTGAAAGTATTACAGATGCCCCCCCCCCTTTTTTCCCCATTGATCCCTTCCTTCCCGCTTCCACCACCCTCCTGCCTTCCCCAGCCTATGTCCGTGTCTACTGGTTGTGCATATATGGATTCTCATTTTTTTTAAATTTGTATTTGTTGACATTATTACAGATGCCTCCCGTTTTGGTACAACAACTTTATTAGGTGGCATTATCTCTGCTAAGTGTGCCAAGAAAATTTCATATAATTCCAATCTCTGTATGAAGGTTTGTGAGGCCCAAGATAAAAAGACTTGAATAAAAAATCTGTTACTATAAAACAAGTATACTAGATTTGGAAGAAAACAGATAATCTAACCTTTTCTATAGGGAAACCACATTGCTGTGGTAATGCTGATAATTCAAAAATACTAGTTGGACTACACAATACACTGAGTTCTACCTTCCAATTAGTTTTTATTACATTAAAGATTATTATTTAATTCCTAGCACTTTAAAGTAAGCTAACTATTCCAATTTCTAAAATAGCTAAGGTGTTGCCCTGGCTGGTTTGGCTCAGCAGTAAAATAGCTAAGGTGCTAAAATGTATATATTAAATGCTCTATAAAAACTACAAAGTGCCCTGGCAGGTTTGGCTCAGCAGTTAGAGTGTCAGCCCTCGGACCAATGAGTCACGGGTTCGATTCCTGTCAAGGGCACGTACCCTGGTCAGGTCGTGTGTGAGGCAACCAGTCGATGTGGCTCTATTACATCAATGTTTCTCTCTCCCTCCTTCCCACTCTATCTGATAATAAGTAGAAAAATATTATCGGGTGAGGAATAAAAAAAAACAAAAACAAAACTACAAAGTGACAACACCTGATTTGCAGAATCTACTGTCAAAGCCAAATTACTATTGCCAAGTGCCTTAAAAAATGTCTGTATGCATGTATATGTTGGTGCTAGTATAAATAAAACTACACTCATTAAGCATGCAAAAAGTTGCCTCTTAATTCTTTTGATATTCTTTAACCAGTTAATTGTTAAAAGAGTTGATATAAAAATTCACAGATGGCTGATGAAGATTTTGAAAGACTTGAAGGAATTTTTAGCATGACAAGTGAGTATACATCAATCCTATTAATAAATAAACCTTTTAGACATGGTAATGATATTTTAAAAATACAAATATTTAAGCTCCAACTTCATACAAATAAGGACAAAATACATATGTGAAGAATTTAGACATACATTCCATTAAAAAATTAGCTGATGTTCGCCCTGGCTGGTTTGGCTCAGCGGTTAGAGCATCAGCCCGCTGACCAGAGAGACCCGGGTTCAGTGCCCATTAAGGGCACGTACCTCAGTTACAGTTTGTCCCCGGCCCCAATTGAGGTTGTGCGGGTGGCAGCCAGTCGATGTGTCTCTCTCACATCGATGTTTCTCTGTCTCTCTTTTCCTCCCTCTCTCCCTCCCACTCTATCTGAAGATAAGTGCAAAAATGTCCTCGGGTGAGGATTAAAAAAAAAAAAAAAATTAGCTGATAGTTTAAAACTTAAAATTCTGTAATATATAAAACAAGGGGAGGGGTGTTATTTTTATCTTGATTTACTCCAAAAAGAAAATTTAAAGTAGATAAATACTTTCTTTTTGATCCCTAAGAGGAAGGACTTTGTTATTTCACCAAAGCAATCAAACATCTAACTCCTGCTTTTTAAAAATGATGTTAAATAAAATACCTTTTCCTTTTTTTTTTCAACTTGATTTTCTCTTTGCTTTTTGCTTTTCTCTTCTCCTCTTCTTCATTTATTCCTGTGTGTTGGGGAAAGAATCAGGGCACCATGAGTCTATATACTAATATAGTATGTATACATTTTTTATTTTGTTGGTTAATGATTTTCACTGGTTAAGATATTGTACTTATAACAACTGACACATAACACTGTATTAGTTTTAGGTGTATAACATACTAATTCAATATTTGAATATATTGTGATATGATCACCACAATAAATCTAGTTCACATCTGTAATATTAACTAGGGTCACTATGCTGTACATTACAACTGGAAGTTTGAACCTTTTGACCCCTCAACCATGCTTCTGGAACCATTAATCTTTACTCTGTATCTATGAGCTTAGCTTGCTTAGCTTTTTGCCCCCGCACCCTTTTTTAGATCACACATACAAGTGAGATCATAGGGTATTTGTATTTCTCTCTTTGACTTAATTTGCTTAGCATACTTTTTTCAAGGTCCATTGATTATTTTTATTATATGCTACTAAGTACATTGAGTAAAAAATTCTAGTACTTCAATTTTTGGTGAGTATCATTCCAGGCCTTAAAAAACAAAACAATACAATCAAGTACAGTTCTTTAATTTTATTTTTCAAACAAAATTGGGGTCGTGAGATCCTAGGATCATGGGACAATAACAACAGATTTATTAATTATGTCATTGGTGTCTTGGAAGGAGAGAATACATACTGTTTTCTAACTTGCTTTTTAAATGAACAATTTAGTGTGCATTTTTCTAGGCTTTCTCTCTATATAACCAAATATACACATACAATCACTTATACAAACTTGGTTACATATAAATCCTAAGTGTTTTTTCTCTTTTGAAAACTGAATTATGGCATATATAATATTTTCCAACTTATTTCTTTCATCTAATACTTTTTTGGATACTCAATTTTTCTAATTCAATTTGTTGAAAAGACTACCCTTCCACACAGAGCTGCCTTCCCACCTTTGCCATAAGCCAGTTGCACTTCTGCTTCTGGGAAGATGAAGCAAATGTACTTTTCCTATTCCTCTCATTAAGTGCAAAAATCCCAGACATTATAAAAACAAACATAAGACACTGAAAGTTTGGAAGAAGACAGACCAGATAGGTATTTCAAATTCCAGAGAATGGCACAGTAGTGAGTTCCTTGCAATTATTTTTTACTTCATATAGCCCGTACATGGAGGTGAAGAAACTGGTAACCTGGCGATGTCAACAGGTGCAGACAAAAATGCCCTCAAAAAAGCCTGCTTTTTCTAGCCAAAGGGCCAAGAAATAAAGAACACAGTGACTAGTGAGGCTGTGATAAGGTGCCTCAATTCCTCTGTGTAAACAATCTAACTAGGGGGCCCGGACTTCCATCCACATCGGCCAGTAACGACACATTCACTAACAGTGTCAGCGGAGATGAGATGGGGAGGCCGGTCCTCCGCCATCACCCAGAAGTAAGGCCGCACCCCTCCTGTCTACTCCGAAGTGTTGCCTGGGGAGACCTAGGCTGAGTCAGAGCTTTCACCGCCACCCAGCAGTGACAAGACCAGCCTCACCATGGGATTCCACTGGGAAACTGGACTCCTCCCTGCCCCAGCAGTGGCCTCGCGAACTGGTGAAGGTTAAGTGGGAAAACAGGCCTCCTCTCTCCACCTGGCAGATAACAAGGTAGTTTCCCCGCTTCCCCTTCTGAAGTGATACCAGAGAAAATCAGAAGGTTTAAAGAAAAGCCAGAGTTTTAAAATATAATATAAAAATGTCCAAGTTTCAATTGAAAAAACTCATCAAATCAAGAAACAGAAAGGTCCCGAAGTAAATGAAAAATAAAACAATCAATAGATGACAATCCCATAAGAGATATGAGAATTATTTAAAGAAGATTTTAAAGCAGCCATTATTTTAAACAGCTTCAATAACAATTCTGAGTATGCTCAATACAAATCAGGAAATAGAAAGCCCCAAAGAAAGAGAAAATCCAAAGAAGAACCAAATAAAAATGTTAGAACTAAAAATACAATAAATAAAAAAAATTTAAAAAGCTCAATCCATGGGCACTGAATAAGTAATCACTGACCTATTAATAACAATCTGAACAATGGAGAGAAAACAGACTTTAAAAAAAGAGAGAAAAGACAGAGTCCCAGGGACCTGTGGAATAATAACAAGAGATCTGATGTCTATGTCACGGGAGTCCTGGAATGAGAAGATAAAGAAGGTGGGGCTGAAAAAGTACTTGAAGAAATAACAGCTAAAAACTTTCCAAATTTGTGGATACATAACCCCACAAATTTAAGAAGCTAAGTAAACCCCATTCAGGTTAAACTCAAAGAAATCCTTGTCAAGATACATTATAACCAAACTCTTGACAACTAATGACAAAGGGAAAATCTTGAAAGCAGCCAGAAAAAATTATAATTACTTATTAAACAATGAGAATGAAAGCAAATTTCTTATCAGAAAGCATGGAAGTCAAAAGGAAGTAAGACAATCCTTTCTAAGTGCTAAAAAAACCCGAAATCTAGAATCATCTGCCCAGTGAAAGTATACTTCAGGAATGAAGGAGAAATGAAGACATTCTGAGATAAGGAAAAAATCTGTCACCAGCAGACATATCCTTAAAAAAAAAGGCTAAAGAAAGTTCTCTAAATGTAAAAAACTTGAGAAAAGAAGGAACCCCGAACATCAAGAAGAAAGAATACAGTCAGCAAAAACATGGGTAAACAAAAATAGGTTTTTCTTCTCTTGAGTTTCTAAATTGTGTTTGATGGTGGAAGCCCAAACTATAATACTGTCTGGTGTGTTCTAAATGCACATAAAGGATGTATTTATAACGAATGTATTGTAAATGGGAGAGGATATAGGGTCAGAAAGGGAGGTAAGGTTTCTACATTTTACTTAAACTGGCAAAGTGACAATACCAACAGACTGTGATAAATTATGTATATATAATACCTAGAGTAACCACTAAAAATGCTATACAAAACACCACAGAAACATTTTAATAAACATTATGAATATACTCAAAGACACTATAGAAAAATCAAAATGATATTCTGTAAGTGTTCAAGTGACACTATAAATCATATCACTTTAGATAATTCTAAAAAAGTTCAAGTAACCCCCAGGAAGACAGGAAAAAGAAAACAAAAATGAAAAACTGAGAGAACAGGCAGAAAACAAATAATAAAATGACAATTAGCGCAAACATATAATTATATTATTATAAAAAATATACCAATTAAAGAAATTGGCAGAGTGGATTGCAAAATATGACCCATCTGTATAATGTCTGTAAGGCTTTCACCTAAAATATAGTAATATAGGCATACTGAAAGTGAAAAAATAGAATGAATGCCACACAAACATTATTAAAGGAAAGCTAGAGTGGTTATATCAATTAATATCAGATAAAATAGACTTCAGAACAAAAACAAAACCACCAGTGAGAGAGAGGGACATTATATAATGGCATAAGTTTCAACCCACCTATACGCAATCCTAAATGTGTATGCACCAAACAACAGAACTGAAAATACAACAGAGCTGAAAATATACTAAACAAAACTAATAGACTTGAAAGGAGAAACAGACAAATCCACAATGGTAGTTGGAGACTTCAACATCCTAGTCTCAACGACTGATAGAAACTATACATAAAGTCAAAGATATAGAAGAACTCAAAAATACCATCAATTAACAGAATCTAAACAACCTTAAAAATCACTCCACCTGAAAAGAGTACAATACACATTTTTTCCCAAGTGCCTACAGAACATAGACCAAGATAGAATGTATCCTGGGCCATAAAGCTAACTTCACCAGACTTAAAAGAACTGAAATCACACAGAGTATGTCTCTGTGCACAATGGACTCAAATGAGAAATCAATAACAGGGAAATAACAGGAAAATCTCCAAATACTTGGAAATACAAGACACTTAAGTAACCATTGAGCAAAGAGAAAATATCAGGAAAAATAAGAAAGTACATTGGACCCAATTGAACTGAAATATAACATACCAAGATTTGTGCAACACAAATTTATACCACTAAATGCTTACAAAAGAAAACGACAAGAGTCTCAAATTAATATTCTAAGCTTTCATCTCAAGAACCTGGGGGGAAAAAGCTAAATAAACCCAAAGCTAGTAGAAAAAAAGTCATAAAGAACAGGAATTAATGAAATTTAAAAAAAGAAAAGAAAAAGAGAAGACACAAATTACCGATATCAGGAATAAAACAGGGAATATCACTACAGATCCTATAGACACCAAAAGGATAAGTGAATACTATAAACAACTCTACAAGTGTAAATTTGACAACTTAGACAAAATAAACCCCTTTCTCAAAAACACAAATTGCCACAACTCATCTAATATGAAGTAGATACTTTCAATAATCCTTTATTAAAAAATTGAAATTATAATTAAAAACTCCAAAAAAGAAAATCTCTGAGCCCAGATAACTTAACGAAGAAGTCTACCAAACATCTAAAAAATTAACACCAATTTTACACAATCTTATCCAAAAACAGAAGAGACCTCTTCTTAATATTTTCAGAAACCAGTGTTACTCTCATACCAACATCAGATTAAAATAGTACAAAATAAGAAAACTACAGACCAATATCTCCCATTAATAAAAATGCAAAAATTCTGTATGCACCCTGAATGGGAATAAAACTCACAACCTAGGTATGTGTCCTGACCAAGAATCAAACCTGCAACCTTTTGGTGTATGGGACCACGCTCCAACCAAATGACCCACCCAGCCAGGGCTGAAATTTCACTTCTTTAATAAATGCAGGCAGCTCAGTTGATTTCTTTTTGACAGTTTTGGTACTTTGTATCTTTTATATATCCATTTTACCTAAGTTGTTTATAGCATTCCCTTAGTTTAGCATCTGTATAATCTGTAGTATTGTCATTTCTTTAATTTCTGATATTAGTAATTTAGTACTTTTTTTACTTGATCTGTTTGGATAGCAATTTTTCGATTTTATAGATCTTCTCAAAGAACCAGTTTTTGGTTTCACTGGTTTTCTCTACTGTTTTTCTATTTTCCATTTCCTATTTCATCTCCATCATTTCCTTTCTTCTGCCTATTTTGGATTCTCTTTGTTCTTTTACTTGTGTGTTACAGTAGAAGCTGAAAGTCATAACTTTGAGACATTTCTTGTTCTCTAATACAGGCATTTAGTGCTGTAAATTTTCTTCTAAGTACTGCTTTAGGGTCATCCCATAAATGTTGTTATGTTGTGATTTTATTTTAATTCAGTTCAAAATATCTTCTAATTTCTTTTTGGGTTTTTTTTTTCCCCTGACCTATGAGTTAGCTGGAAGTGTGTTAAATTACAAATATTTGGAAAATTTCCAAGAAGCTATCTGTTACTAGATCTTCATTTACATACCTGCCATCAGGTTTGTAGCTACTTTTAAATACCTGAGTAGGCAGTTCCAAACGTAGGCCCATTAATCTAAATTTCTCATTCCCTCTTGTATCCTCCAACTACTCAGCAACTATCTTTTATAACTGTCTTATACCTGGTTTGGGGATTTTCTCCTTTGCAGTTTTTAGTTTTGACCATCTTTAAATAAAATAAAGTAGAAATTTAATATAAAACTCTCATAAACACACAAAACAAAAAACCCAAGTTAGGCACACATAAAAAAATTGTCGAAATAATTTCTTTTTTGGACTAAACAAAAAGAACATTATAAAATATTAAAAGGTGAAATATGAGAAGAGGATCCTTCTTAATTCTAAAATTTTATTCATTTACTTTTTAAAAACACAGGGCAGTGTAGGTGGATGAGGTAGAGACTCTCCCTGTGGAATAGATGTGCTTAGGCTTCCTCGTCTAGAAACGTGTTCTGCTCCTGTGTGGGTCGGCTTTTCTCTCTGCCTGGATCTCCCTGTACCAGCATCCTAGGTGTTCCTTCTCCTCTCTTCTATTTCCTATATTCTATGGCTTCCTGTTTTGGTAGAAAACCCCTGGAATAAAAGTATGTGAGAGGTCAATTATTTTGAGACTTTGAATGTCTGACAATGCCTTTACGCTACTTTCATACTCGGTTGACAATTTGGTTGAGTGTATCTTTCTAATTTGGATATAATTTTCCTTCAAAAATGGAAAGCATTATCCACACCTACTAGCTTACAAGTATTGCTTTAGAGAAGTACAAAGCTATTCTGACTCCTGATCCTTTACCTATGACCTGTTTTAGCCTTGGCTCTGGAAAGTTTGAATTATACTCTCCTTGTTTCCTATGATATAAGTTTCATGATGGTGTGCCTTTCTGTGAGACTATTTTTATTTATTTATTTTTTTATCCTCATCTGAGGACACTTTTTCATTTTTTGTTCATATAGAGTGGGAGGGAGAGAGAGAGAGAGAAACATCGACGTGAAAGGGACACATCGAGTGGCTGCCACCCGCACGACCAACCAGGGCCGGGGACAAACTGCAACCGAGGTACATGCCCTTAGCGGGAACCGAACCCAGGTCTCTCCGGACCGCAGGCCGACGCTTTAACCGCTGAGCCAAACCGGCCAGGGCTGTGAGACTATTTTTAATACTGTTTGGTACTTATTGAATCTTTTCATCTGGAAACAAATGTCCTTTAGTTCTTGGAACTATTTTCTGTTTTCTCTTTCTGGGACTCATTTATAAAATACTTCCCAGACTGATCTTTTAATTGTCTTATTTTTTTCTCTTGTTTTGCTCTTCTAAGATCTCTTCATCGTCCATCTTTATCACATTTTTATGTCTGCTTCATTTTTAATTTCTAAAAGTTCTTTTGTTGTTTGTTCTTTTTATAGTATCTTATTCATGTTTCACGGAAGCTATATCTTATCATTCCGTGAAACTGAGTATTATTTCTCATAGGTTTTCTTCTCCCTTCACAGACTGTATCCTTCAAGTTGATTTTTTTGTTTGTTGGATTTGGTATTTATATTTCATGCTGGAGTCTCATCAGATTTAGTGCTCCTTATCTTTAAAGTGGACTGGAAGCTTTCAGCAAACAAAGCCTGGAGATTTGGACTTCAGTGGTAACCTGGCTAGGTCATGTCTTTAAGGAATCCTTGATGTCAACATCTTTATTACTTTATTACTTTCTTCATAGACTGGTCAAAGTTCCCAGAGGTAAATCTTCAAATCTTATACTTAGGTGATGTATGTCTGGGAACCCAATAGATGAAGATGGCTGAAAGGTTCTCATAACTCTGTACCTAACGCTTAACTTATGTTTTCTTCTGTTTGGTATGACCCTGTTTAAGGGCCTTTGCCTGATCCTGTCTGCAAACCTGACCTGCAGCAGTCTGCTGAGGTGATGGAGGGACACCAACTGGCATCACAGAGCAGGGGAGGGAACTGACCACCTAATCACTGCAGATTTTTAACCAATCCTCTGTTTTTTACCTTACCTAATTCCTCAATTCCAAAGGTACCTAAGGATACTCATTATCTAGTCTTCAGGGAATTTAAACTGTCGAGTTACTTCTCAGCTTTCCACACTGTTAAAGAACATAACGCAGTCCGTTACCACTCACACACCTGCCTTTCAGCAAAATTGTGTTATTATTGCTTCCTATCCCATTTTCTTTGCCCTTGTCAGTTTCTTAAAAAAATATTCTTCTGTCGTCATTTCAGTGATGTTTCAGTAGGAAGCAAAAGTACGTGTGTGTATCCAAGCACTGTCTTTACCTGAGGCCACATATACTCATACGCAAGGTCACTCGTTTGCCCTCTTTGGGACACACCCCCTTCTGCCTGCTCACTTGTCCCAGTACCCTGGCTTCTTCACTTACTTTCATTGGATATAATATGAAAAGCTTAAAAAATTTTAAAGTGTCTGTGGTTATCTGATGATCTAAAATGCGTTTAACTTTTTGTATTTCTCTCATCCCTTGCCTAGACCCATATTCAAATAAATTGCATTTATTTCTGTGTGATACCTACCATATAGCATCTTGTAGTTTACGAAGTATTCTCACATACAACATCACATTTTATTCCTAAAAACCCCATTGCAAGGATAGCTCACTTTATACACAAGATGGGAAAGAAATGGTTAAACAGTAGGTCTGTAATCTTTCTTCTTTTTTGAGGGGAGAGGAGGATGGCCCCGGGAAGGAAATTTCTTTGTAAACATGCTAATTACAGACCTCCTGGAAACAAAAGAACCATACTTGATTGCTAGAGAGCCTTTTATGGGGGGCAGGGTCGGGGGCAGGGAGGGGAGTGACTTGAAAAACAGAAATTTATTTTCTCACAGTTCTGAAAGCTAGAAGTCCATGATCAAGCTCTTGGCAAGAGAATTCTTATTTACAGACTGCCTGTAGCAGGATGTACCTGGTTTGTCTAAGATTGATGTTTATGGTTAATAATCCTGAAACCTATAGATTTATGGGGCATGGCTCCCTGGAAATATAAGTATCTGGGCATAAAACTGAGATGGTTCATGATTAAAATGACTTTCTTTTGTGTAAGTATTGTAGAAACTTCTTATGTTTATCATGGCTAGAGAGGTCCTGAAGTAGAAAGGAAATACCTGGGCAGCTATACTGGCCACCCCACAGCCCCGCTGCTTTGCCTATGCCTCGTATAAATGATATATGATCATTTATATACCTGTGTTATTGGTCAAGCCTGATGCTGGCTAAGATCTCTGACTTGAATCAGTGTAATTTGACAACCCAATCTTTTGCGTTTTCCACAGAGAAACTGAGGTTCAGCGTGGTTAAGTGACATGCTAAAAAATGGCCAAATAGCCCAGCCGGTGAGGCTCAGTGGTTGAGCGTCGACCCATGCACCAAGAGATCGCCAGTTCGATTAGGGCACATGCCCAGGTTATGGGCCTGATCCCCAGTTGGGGGCATGCGGGAGGCAGTCAATCAATGTTCTCTCTCATTGATGTTTCTATCTCTCTCTCCCTCTCCTTTCTTCTCTAACATCAATAATAATTTTTTAAAAAATTAAAAAACAAATGGCCAAATAAAGCTAGAAACCAAGTCTTAAATCTACTCTTTGTCCCATGTGACACATCCTAGGGTGATGGAAAAGCAACAACAAAACCTGGGTTCTGGAATCAAAAACAGACTTGCCGCCTGGTTATACAACTGATCAATTGTTTGATTTTGGGCAAATTACTTACCACATTCAAAGCCTATTTGCCTACCTATGCAGAACCTCTTACGTAAAACAGAAAAGACATCTTAATGATAAATACAATAGAACAATAGATAAACATGACACCAGAGAGCAAAACATTTACAAACATTTGTAAAGGCTGAAGAGAAAACAAGCATTGCTTACTTTTTTCTTGCAATGCCTGCAATTTATCCAGCTCCTCGTTCTCTTCATCACTCTCTTCACTGCTCGTGCTGCTGACATCCAGGACTATGTCCCTCTTGGGGTCCACTCGGAGGAAATTGCGGCATTCAAAAGTCAGGTGACCAGCTAAGTAAACCGAAGAAATGTGAATAACAAAAGAATACATTATATATTTTTTGTTTTGTTGCCTCATGGTGAGCAACAAGTTGCAATTTTAATAATACAATGTTAAGTCCTAATGTTCACTCAGTGGGTGGTAGTTTGCTTTCCCTGAATGCAACACTCAGAGAGAGAACTTTTCCCTTTTCATCAGGACTTCTATTCAATAAGCATTTTTTTTTCTGAGTATTGAATCAGTATCTTTCCCTTTTTTATGTAATGTATTTTCCCTTTCTATGTACTAAAGAAAACATTCTCACACTTAGGATTTTATATTTAATTCCTTTCCTATACCTTTTTCTTCTCAGCTTTACTACTACACTCATGCAATTACATAGCTTTCATACAATTAAAGGTACCATAATAACAGAATGTTCTCTTCAAAAAAAATCTAAAAATTTAATTCTGACATCATTCACCCCCTTAAGATTCTTTCTATAAGAAAACCACTGCAGTTGTCTACTTATCCATGATACAATTTATTATTTCAGTACAATCAAATATTAAAAATACCAGAAAAGTACAGGAAACAATATAACCAATATCCAAGTGCCGACCACCCATGTGTTAACATTTTGTCATATTCACCTATGATTTTTGCAAGGGAAAGGCCTGCATGCCTGTGCACGCACACACAAAGCTGGAGAGCCTGCCCCGACCTTTGGAACCCTGACGTAATCCCTCCATTCTGTCTTCAGCAGTTGGTATGCTGAAGCTGGTGTCTATCTTTACCAAATAGAATCTTGCATTATTATTTTTTAAGATATAAACTCAATTACACTTACCTATCATGCTGCAACTTGTTTCTGCCACTTAACATTACACTTTGAGCTTGATCTATATTAATACAAGTAGATGTAATTACCTCACCTTACCTGATGAATAATGTTCCCAGCATACTAATACATCTAAAACATGTACTGCACATTTCATACACGTTTCTTAGTTGTTTACAGGAGGGTCCAATCTGCTATACTGCTGGAAACAGTTTCTTCTGTTGTGATTTCCTTCCAAATGAATCACTCAGAAGTGTTCTTTTCAGTTTCCAAACACAGGCAGTTTTCAGACTATGCTTTTGTTGATTATTATAAATTGATTGCACTCTTATCAGAAGATGGGATCTGGATAATATCAGTTCTGTGGTATTTTCTGAGATTTCTTTTTTTGGATTACCAGATAGTACATTTAGGAAGGTATTTGATACGTATTTTAAAAGAATAGACATCACTATTTGTTGAATAGCGTTCTCTATTTTGTTGTTCAAATCTCCATCTTATTCTTTTGTATAATAATTTCTGACAATGAAATTGTTAAGTACTCTGACATAGATTTGTCCATTTCTCCTTGGGATAGTTTTTGCTACACATATTTTGAGATTATGTTAGTAAGTACATTCAAGATCATTATTTATCTTCTTGGTTGATTGTTCTTAAATCTCTCTTTATCTGTAGTACTGCTCTTACTCAAAAATCTGATATTAAAATTGCTCCACTAGTGGTTTTTGTTTTTTTTTTTTTTGGTTATTATTAGTTGGATCATAGGAAGTTACAACTTTTATGAGTAAAAGAGCTGAATATCAACAATATTCAACCTAATATTTATATGTTCTTCTCCATCCCTTTATTTTGAAATTTCCTGTGTAGTTTTTAGTTTTCTATGTAGTTTTATTAATAATGATATGTAGATGGACTTAAGTTTCTTAATATAATGTGATACAAGACAAATTTTTGTTGTTGTTGTTAATCCTGACCCAAGAATATTTTTCCGTTGATTTTTAGAGATAGTGGGAGGAAGGGAGGGAGGGAGGAAGAGAGACATTTATGTGAGAGAGACACATGGATAGGTTGCCTCATGCATGACCCTGACTGGGGCTGGGGACAGAACCTGCAACCTAGGTATGTGCCCTTGACTGGGAATCGAACCCGCAACTCTTTGGTCTACGGGTCGATACTCCAAGCAGTGAGCCAAACCGGCCAGGACACAAGACCAATTTTTAATGTTAACGTCTTAGGCTGGAAAAACAGTTTCTGCCTCACTGGGTGGTATCCTCATAAATGGGATTAATGCCTTACAAAAGAGACTCCAAAGAGATCCCTAGCCCTTTCCCCCATGTGAGGATAAAACAAAAAGTCTGTGGCCTGGAGAGGGTCCTCACTCGACCGTGCTGACACCCTGATCCCAGACTTGCAGCCTCTGGATCTGTGAGCCAAAAAGTCCTGTCGTGTATAAGCTACCCAGCCTGTGGTTTTTGTAACAGCAGCCCACATGTATTAAGCAGTTCCATGTTCTGTCGTGGAGATTTCTATAACACAGAAATATCATAGACTCACCCCACTTTTTAATTCCTCACCATTCAGGCCTTAATCTACATAGTTTGTTTCATGACCTACACAACTCTAACTAATCTTGCTAAGGTCAGCAACCATCCCACCTGGCAAATCCAATGAACATTTCTCAGTCCATTTCTTACAAATCCTTTTTAAAAAAAAATGTATATATTTGTATTGTTGAAAGTTACAGATGTCCCTCTGTTTTTCCCCCATTGACCCCCTCCTGCCCTCTCGTACCCTCTTCCTGCTTTCCCCAAACTATTATCTGTGTCCATGGGTTGTGCGAAGTTCTTCAGTGTATCGCTTCTTAGAAATCTTATCTGTCACACCTGACAATATCCCTCAATTTCAAAAAGATCTTTACTGCTTTGGCTGACGTGATGCTGCTCTCTCCTGCTCCTCCTGGCCTTGCACTTTCTTGGTCACTTTGTCCTCAGCTCATGCCTATACATTTTACTCCATGTGTTGATACTGTACTTCACCAAGAGTCAGTTATTGATTGTTCCAAATTTGCATATATAACAATATGCAGGCAAAAAACTAAGTGTGGAAAAAATAATGGGGGGCTATATTTCTATGAAACAAAGCTATACTTTTGGAAAGACTTGATTTAGACGAATTGCTTAAAAAAAAAAGGCAGTTTTCAAAATAGGCATTGGCAAGTAGATTGTAAAGGACAGGGCCGGGGCAAACAGAAAACAATGAAAAAACGTTCCTGCTTCTCAAAGGGGAAGACATTGGTATTTTGGGCCAGAAAATTCTTCACTGGTCAGGAAAGTCCCCCACATTGCAGGACGTTTATAATTCCGGGGCCCTACATGCTAAATGTCATACTGCTCCCCACCCTTAAAGACAACTAAAACAAAACAAAACAAAACAAAATCCAGAGATTTCCACAAGGCCTTATCACCCCTAGTTGAGAACTAATGATAGAAGAATTTTGCCTCAGATTTCTTTACAAGTATCTTAACTGCTTCAATACCTTTGAAGAAACAATCTATGACAGTGGAAAATGCATTTCAGATACGATTTGCACTAAAAAACCGTGTGCTATGCCCGGCCGGTGTAGCCCATGGCCTGAGAGATCCCGGTTTGATTCTTCTGCTCAGGGCACATGCTCGGGTTGCAGGCCCGAGAACAGGAGGGGGATCTCTCACATGTTTCTATCTCAATGTCTCTCTCTCTCCCCCTTCCTCTTCCTCCAAAAATAAATCAATACATATATTTAAACAAAAAACTACGTGTACCACCAATTAGCAGACCCATAGGAAAAGAAAAGATCTTGACTGTATATCAGTAGCACAGGATTAAGTTAGATACAATGTTAAGGGTATTTAGGTGTGTTTTTATTTCCCGCTTCTGTGATCAAATGCTCAACTAGAGGGTACTGCACTAAAGTTTTAAGCATATTTTCCGAGAAATATTATAATTATTTGAGATGTATTCCATGGACAAAGGCTTAGTGTCCTTGTAGCTTTTCAATATTCAGAAGTTGCCAACTTAAAAAAAACAACTCATTATAGAAATAACCATTTTTCTAATTTTGCTGAGGAAATTCTGCCATGAGAAAGTGAGATCCATGTTATTTAGTAGCACATTCATCCTTAACATGAAACTTCGTAAAACAATTTAACTACTATTGAAACAACTAACAAAATATATTTTTTTAAATTTTTATTTATTGATTTTAAAAAGAGAAAGTGTGAGGGAGGGAGAGAGGGAGTGAGAGTAGGAGAGAGGGAGGAAGAAGAAAGGTGTGGGGGGGTGGACAGAGAGAGAAAGAGACATATGGATTTGTTGTTCCACTTATTTATGCATTCACTTGTTGCTTCTTGCATGTGCCCTGACTGGGAATCAAACCCCAAATCTTGGCTTATCAAGACAACACTCAAACCAACTGAACTACCTGGCCAGGGCTAATATTTTTCAATCCAGTATTAACATTTTAAAAAGTGTATAATCAAACCACTATTTTCACACCAATAAAAAGAAAATACTCTTTTGTAACTGACTGATGAATATCCACATTTTTAGGCATTAAAAACATTAAAAGGGTTTTTGCTGACCTTCCTCTTACCTCTATTAGCAATAATAAGGCTCTGGCCTCCAAATAACAGATAATTTAAAAAATTTAGTTTCTACTGAAAGACCTGTAAATAAAAGATCCCTCATCTCCAACAGCTACAAAATGTAAGTTTAACCCAGAAGGGAAATATTACTAAATTTTTCCATAGGAGACAAATTATAAATTATTTAATAACAACTTAATCACTAAAATCAAGGATCTGAATAATCAAGCAGAAGAATCAAGCAGTCAGCTTGGAAGACTGGCAACACTATTTCCTTACTTGGCGTCTCTAAAAATAATTCTAATTACTACAGATGCATCTATTAATGTCTAAAATAAATAAAAATGAGGAGACCAGATCAACAAATATTCTATTTCAAAAGAAGAAAAAAGATTTTAATTGTTTTCCTGCAAGTCTTTAATTATACAGTAGTAGTAGGTTCTTAGGTCTTCAGTAAAGAAACGAGACATGGAAATTAGCAAGGATTGAAAGAAAATAAACAAACCTGAAGTAAATTTAAACAACTAAAAATATTTCAATTTTCTCATTCTTTGCATGCCAAGTACATTCTTCAGAAGCTTTTATTTATATGAAGACTATGTGTACTTATGAACCTACTTGGTTAATAGAGCAAGCTTCTCTTGAGCCAGGTTTCAGCCTTTGCTTGGAGGCATGTGACACAGTTCACCCAGTGTGCTTTTATTCGGAATCCTTCTAATGAAGATTTATGGCCAGAGTACCTTTTTTTTTTTTTTTTTTTATCACATGTTCTCAAATGGAAATATATATATATTTTTAAATCATCTTTATTTTTTAAAAGAGTAACTTAATGATCTGAAGCATTAACAACAATCCAGGCTCATTTGCATGGTCTCCCAACAACTTAAAAAACAGCAAATGCTATTCCAGCTGTTATCAAAGCCTTGGGGATTGTTACTTTAACTAGAAAAAAATTGTGTATGGTACATAACTGCACTTGTTAAAGTTTACTTTTCCATTCTGTTAATCATAGTGGACACCAATGATCATTTACATCAAATTTTGTCAAGTGAGCAGAAATTCTGGGTACAATTTCACCATTATAAAGAGTAAATTAAATAAAAAGAAAAATGCTTCATAAGTAGTTTTTGTTGCTTTTCCCTGTTCACCTAGAATCTAGAAGGATAAGGAGTAAAAGAATAAGTATGTAAGTACTTTTTAGGGCATAGACTTTCTCCAGACTCCTGAATCTATTACTCCCCTTGTACTCCATGACATCTTTGCTACTTACCAACTATAGATCCACCTGTCATTGAGTCTATAGAAGGAAATAAAAGTGAGTATTTCGTTCTGACAGATGAATTCTAAATCATCTGCAAACGTGAGCTAAAAACAGAGCTGAAGGACTGTCTATTCCCAGGGCCCTGAAATCTGGATGCTAAATCACACTGCCCAAAGAAGCAATGACTCACAGTACACAATGTTATTTTTTATTGTACTTACGGTAGCCACATTTTTTACAGCCTGCTCGAACACTATCCTTGTTGCAACCTAAAATACAAATTGGTAACATTTTAGGAGACATATAAAGTAAAAACATAAAAATTTCATCACATGAAAAACCTAAGAAAACCACTTGGAGAATTTCTTTCTTTCTTGTTTTTTTTTTTTTTTTTTAATCCTCATCCGAGGACATTTTTCCATTTTTTGTACAGACAGAGTGGGAGGGAGAGAGAGGAAGAGAGAGAGAGGGAAACATTGATGTGAAAGGGCCACATCGAGTGGCTGCCACCCGCTTGACCCAACCAGGGCCGGGGACAAACTGCAACCGAGGTACATGCCCTTAGCGGGAACCGAACCCGGGTCTCTCTGGACCGCAGGCATTCCCGCCCTGGCCGGTTTGGCTCAGTGGTTAGAGCGTCAGCCTGCAGTCCAGAGAGACCCGGGTTCGGTTCCCGCTAAGGGCATGTACCTCAGTTGCAGTTTGTCCCCGGCCCTGGTTGGGTCATGCGGGTGGCAGCCACTCGATGTGGCCCTTTCACATTGATGTTTCTCTCTCTCTCTCTGCCTCCCACTCTATCTGAACAAAAAATGGAAAAATGTCCTCGGGTGAGGATTAAATAAATAAATAAATAAAAAATAAAATCATCCCAACCCAGCTTAGTAACACTACTCAATTACAATGGTTACTAGGAACTAATAAAAAAGCCAATTTACTCAAATTATTTCCTTTGACAAATACTTTACGAACACATTTTTCTCTAATTCAACAAATGCAGTATTATAGCCGAGAGCTTCAACATTCCCCCAATTCTACAGCACTGAGAAAGAAATTCCAGGATACCTTGGCCTGTCCCTCAAATGTAAAATAAATAATTTACTAGATATGTATGAACATTCAGGTTAATGTATGTTTTTCTGCTTTCCCTTAGAAGAAATAGGACTTTCTTTAAAAAATTGATGAAATCCCAGATAACTTTAATTGCTAGGTATTGTAAACAACATCTCATTTCAGCACTCAAGTTATTACAAGAGAAAACAACTAGTCATGAATTCAGTCCGATCAGTGCTTAGAAATATTTACAGTATCCTGTATAATCACTGGTACATGCAGGTAATATTGAAGATATAAATAATAGATGAAATAAATTAAAACTGAATTTTATTGTGATAAAACGTACATAACATGAAATTTACTATCTTAACCATTTTTAATTGTGCAATCATCACTACTATCTATTTTCAGAACTTCTCCAGCATCCCAAATAGTACTGTAAACAATAACTGACCATTTCCCCTTCCCTCTAGTCCCTGGTAATCTCCATGCTACTTTCTCTCTCCATGAATTTGCCTATTCTAGGTAGCACATATATGTGGAATCACACAATATTTGTCCTTTTATGTCTGGCTTACTTTACTTAGCATAATGTTTTCATTGTTCATCCAGATTATAGCACATATCAAAATGCCATTCCTTTAATGGCTGAATAATATTCCACTGTCTGTATATACAACTGAAATTAACTTTAACTTCCAATAAGGACTTCGATCAACCAATCAGAGGACCAGTACAATATTACTCTATTTCCTTAATGACAGGCATCAAAACCCTTCAAATAGAGATATGATCCCAATTTAATAATAAAGTGCATATAGCACAAACATAAAACAGTGCTTATTTTAAAAGAAAGATAATTTTTCAAACCATTTCTTTTATGTTCTGAGGTTAAGGCATTAGTTATTTCCTCCAAACCCAATTTTGTTTTAAAAATACATTACTGAGTTGTTCTAGTAAAAATAGTCAGTTCTGCTATAATGCTTGCTTTAAAAATACAAATTTGTTCCAATGCAACTGATATAAGACAGAACAATATGAGCATAATATGACTTTCTGTCCATGAAAAGCACTAGGTAGATGCAGAAAACTTCTCCTTCAGTTGCTCTGAGCCTCACAGGAATATACCACAAACACACACGGAAGCAGCTCAAACCATTTCTAGCCCTATGCTCACCGTGTGTGTTGTGAGCAGTGCCCATACACATCTGGTGTGACAACTTTCCATCTGATTTCATATCACCTTCCTAAAATCACCATCTTCCTTACCATTACTTCAGAACAACTCACAAGGTGCAAACTTCAGGTCTTTTAAAGGTATAGTGCCCTATTTATTGTAGTATTCGTGTATCTTTTAACCAATTAACATGTGAAAAATTATACTACTATTTTCATCAGCTTCCTATTATGCTCAATCTCATTTGTTTCTCATAAATGTTGTGGTTTTTACTGCATGAATAGAGAACATATATGATGCACTGTAGAACTGTGGAATAAAATTAGACTAATAACAGAATCTGAGGCTCTTTCAATATGAACTAATTGCATGTTGAAAAAAAAGCTCAGAGAATCTGGGTCAATGTTAGGTCTGTTTCCATAGAAACCATAAACGCTGAATAAAACTATGCTAAATGCACCATTACCATTCCTACAACAAACTAAGTATGTTGTAATGGACAGATCCTAAATGATGTGAACTGAGCATGTATTAGAAATGAACTTGTTTATGACTAAAGACACTAGTAAAACTCATCATCCAAGTATCTCATATTTTTCAAATAAACAAAATATAAAACTTTTTCAAAGCAGGTCATCTTAATAAAATTGTAACTTTTACAAGAAAGGGGAATATAACAAGAACTCTACATAGAATAATTCCGTATCAGCTATTTCCTCACCAGCCTTTGGTTAAATTAAGATTTCGAGCTTCATTTGTCTATAATTTTCATGATTACCTGGCCAACGAAATGCTTTACCTGAAACGTCGAATCTGATGCACTGACACAATACATCTAAGAAGTGACATAATGAAGTATGGACAGTTAATTCATTCTGCTGTCACGATCCAGTTGCTAGCGGCAGCGATGGTACCGGCAGCAGCAGCCCTAACCAGCTCCCAGACTGGGCAGGATCCTGGCTTTGGGTTCCCTTGGTCTTATCTATTTTCTGAGCCTTATTTTCCAACCTTTGCTTAGACAGATTATTTGAGCTCTCTGATACATTTCCTTTTCTCCTTAAATTAACCAGTTTTTGTTGTTTGAAAAAGAACTCTGCCAATACAATTGTGCATAACTTGAAATCCACATCAAACAGAGTAGCAAGACTATATTGTGAGGCCCTTACTCCTCAAAATGTTCCTTTATAATCATGACTCATAAACCAAAAAAACAAAGCCTTTGAATAACAACTTATAAATTTGACTACACAAAAAACATCTGGATGGCAAAGACCACTAAAAGCAAACTCAAAAGACACATGAACACTTGGAAAAAAATATTTGCAACTCACAGAACCAACAAAGGATAATTATCCCTACTATAAAAGTGCCAGCAAATCATTAAGAAAAAGACCAATAATAACCAATAGGAAAAAAAAATGGGCAAAAAAACTGAACAGAAATTTCACAGTAAAGGAAATAGAAACATCTGAAATATATGAAAAGATGCTCAGCCTAGTGGTTTGGCTCAGCGCTCAGAGGTCTGGACCTCAGACCAAAGGGCCGAGGGTTCTGATTCCGGGTCAAAGGCATGTAACCTGGATTGCAGGTTTGATTCCCGGACCCAGTTGGGGTCCTGCTGGAGGCAACCAATCAACGTGTCTCTCTCACATCTATGTTTCTTTATCTCTCTCCCTTCCTCCTTTCCACTCTCTCTAAAAATCAATGGAAAAATATCCTCAGATGAGGATTCACACACACACACACACACACACACACACACACACACACACGGTGGGAAGGAGTAACAGTTGAGCAAAGAAGGAATAAAAGACAAAGGTCAAAGACCAAAAGGTAGGTACAGTGATTAAAGTAATGAGACAATGAGGAAGAAAGGAATGGAGTGTGTCCCCCACAGTTGTCTCGGGTTGTTCAATAGCCCCAAAGGTATTTTATTTTCATAAAATTTCATATCGCCTAATGTTTCCAAATTCAACAATTTATTCATTGGAAAGTTTGCTAGTGATACTTGTAACTGAATATTTCTCTCTTACTACTACTACTGACTTTGGGAAAGGCTGTCAAGGTTTTATTTATATTAAAATATTTTCTATAATCATTAAATTTAAAATTAAACAGCTTAAGTAACTAAATTTTCTTTCTATTAAGCAGTTAGCAATTGCAATCATTTCTGTCCATTCTTTCCATTTTTAATTTGATTAGATTCAGTTAGATTAGATTCCTTTTCTGTTTGTAACACTTTGTTTTACACTTGGTTACTCCATTATAGATTAAGTTATAATTTGCGGACCCTTAAAAATAACTTCAATTTCTTCTGCTTTTAAAATTCAAACTGTGGTTAGATTTTATACCATATAGGTGCTAATATCTATATAATATGTATATAATTTTCTAAAGTTGAATGCAAAGTAAAACTCCAAGGATTTAACCCTTTTTACTGCTTTATATTAAGAATATATAGATATAATCCTCTTGGGGATCCCCAAATATTGTATTGAAGGAAAAGTAGAAAAAAGATTAGAAATTAAAAATTACTTGTGAATTTAAAAAATGTTTAATTAGTCCCTTGGTGTAAACATTTTGAAAGAGTCGATATCCTCACCTTAAGTTAAAAATGCCTTCATAATCTTATTTGACCCTCAAAAGAAGAGATAAAAGTAAGTCAATCAAAGAGTAGCTTATTTTAAACAACTGACATGAATGAGCTGACACTTAAGTAAATGTATAAAATGCTTTCATACACTTGCCTGAGAAAATGCAAATGACCTGTGAAGAAAAGAAGGTATAGGTATTACCAGTTTAGGATAAGAGACATGGAGATGTTTAATTTATTATCCAATGAAACAGAATCAAGACTGCTGTCAAGTTTCATGTTTATTTGAGTACTAGATTCCGCTCAGCAGCAATTCTAGTGATCAACCCTCTAACTATTATTTACCTATTATGGGTATAACTCCGAAACGATGTTAGAGAAGCCATACAGATGTATAAAGTTCCTACAGTAAAGGAAACTATAATATATGAGGTTATCTAGGATAATGCACCCACAGTTGTATTCTGGAATATGCCAGTATAAGTAAGACACATGGTTCACCCTGGCCAGTTTGGCTCAGCAGTTAGAGCATCGGCCTGTGGACTGAGGGGTTGTGGGTTCGATTCCCAGTCAAGGGCATGTACCTGGGTTCAATACCGCTGTGGTCAGGGTCATGTGGGAGGCAACCAATCACTGTGTCTCTCTCACATTGATGTTTTCTCTCTCTCCCTCCTTCCCTTCCACTCTATCTAAAAATCAATGGAAAAATATTGTCAGGATTAACACCCCCCCCCCCCCCAAGACACATGGCTCCATCAATAAGCAGGGAGAATTGACAGACAAGACTTTCAGCTGAGGGATTAGGAAGGCTTCCCACAGGCAGACAGCACAGTAGAAGAGGGGCAGTGGGAACAAAAGGGTGTAGGCAGAAAAGGACGTGACAGGTTCTGGGAAGAGCTGGCCATGTCTTCAGACTGCAGTGTGCGAGAGGAGAGGTGGGAGGAGAAGGCAGCAGGAGCGACTTGGCCATGCTGAGGAGCGTGCACTTCATTCTTGCAGAGATGGGGAGCTTTGGCATTACAAGAATTTAGAATTAAAAGAAGGCTTAATCACCAACTCCTTCATTACAGAGACAAGGAAACCAAGCCTCAGAAAGGTTAAGTCGCATGAAGAGAAACAAAATTCAGGGAAATGAGTCAAGCCTCCCAGGAATCAGGATCAGATATATGATTTAGGAAAATTATTTTAGCAGCAATGTGCAGCATAGACTAGAGGGAAAAGAAATGATATGCAGTATGGTTTCTGAGTGAGAAGACTGGATATAGTATGATTCACAATCCTTCTATCATGAAAGTGCTTTAGTAACGTGAATTTGACTCACTATGATAAGCCAGATGTAACGCTTATTTGGCTACAGAAAACCCTACCTTGGCCATATAGATTTCCCGGAAGAAGATAAAAAACACAGCTTTTGTGCCAACCACAGCAGTCACACATACTATCACTGGTGCCAGGCCAAACCTTCATGGGGAATGGAGATCCACTAGAATGAATGTTAAAACTAGTTTCAACAACTGTGACAGGGAAAGCAGTTTGTAAAAGAAAGTGAACTTCACTGAAACCCGTGTTTAAATGTAATTTCTTTAATAACAACTAAGAGTCTATGATTTCCTTTACAAAGAGAGTACAGACTTCATTGTTTCTCACACAATGGTGTCAGCTTATACACAGTGGTATGAAAAACAGCTGAAGTCGGTGACCATAAAATAGACGAGGTTGATTTTCATTTGTGGAAAGCAGCCTCGTTACTTTGTAGTCATACCTTGTAATAGCTAGCGTGGCACCTAGGAAATGCCATACTGAATCCACATGAGCATTATACCTAAAAATAAAAGAGCATAACAATACCTGTTCTTCTCAAAGATTATCAAAATGTTTCTAATGGAGCCCTATTTTCCTTTAATACACTATCTGGATCGATGAAGAAATTACCCTACCATTTTCCGTATCTACATTTTCTAATGGCACCTGCATTGCACTTTTGCGGTGCTGTCATGCCTATTATCCCTTTTTTTTTTGCTGGGTTTAAACAGTTTATCTGTCTTACCATCTAGCTTAATGGCACAATTTTAGATTACTACACTTTAATGCATTATTTTGAGTTGAAAGAAGGTTAAGATATCTACAAGAGTGGTCTAAGTTTAAGGGAATTTCAATAAGGATTTTTAAAAAATCACTTGTCCTTTTTCTTAAGCAGCACATGTTCATTACCAGTTTTATGAGGGCACAGGCTGTGACACTGTGTCCCCCACAGTGCCTGTACCATGTAGGTACTCAAAATGTTTGCTTAAGTAATAAAACTGACAGCGACAGTAGGTCAACTTTGGATCCAGCTCTGTGATGCAAACATCACCAGGGCTGACTTGGCCTATCAGGACATCTAGGCAATCCACTGTGCACAATGGCTTTTCTCTGATGGCCCCTAACATGTTGATATTCTCCTGGCTTCAGCTACAGGCCTTCTATTTACACTGTACACTCTCCTCCTGCACAAAAGCATCCACTTGTGTGGCCTTAGTTCTTATCACATGTGTGGATGACATCAAATTGTTGTCTTTGACTCTGGCTTCTTTCCTAAGCTACAGATTTTATGTCTTACTGGCTATTAGATATTGCTATTCCTATGTCTGACTACAACTCAAGAAAGGCCCCGAACTGAAGTTATCATTATCCCCCTAAAACCTGCTCTTTCTCAGGGGTTGCCTATTTTAGTAAATAGCCCCACCCAATTACCTAACAGGGAAACCCAGCTATACATACCTCATTATCCACCTACTTTGAATCAGTCACTGATTCCCAGTAATTCTACCACCGAAAGTATATCTCCAATCTATCTGCTCCTCTCCTTTCCTACTGAGACCACACCTGAGGCATCATCATAACATGCCAGAATTACGTCTATCTGGTGACTTTGCCTCTGAACTAGCAACCCTCAAATCCAATGTGCAGTCAGAATGATCTTTCCAAATGTGAGTCTGTTTAAAAACGTTTAAATGGCTTCCTATCTTCCTCAGGAAAATATTCAAACTGTCATGCTTACAAGGTCTTTGAAGAGCTGGAAACTACTTTGTAACTTATACTGTAACATGGCAAAATGTATAAAGCACACAGTGTCTAGAGAAGCCAGACTGACCTATCACTTACCAGCTGTCTCATAATAGGCCAGTTGCTTGATTTCTGTCCCGCAGTACCCTCATACATAAGGTGGAAACACTAATACCTGTCTCACAGTGTGGGTGTGAATGTTAAATGAGATAAAACACAATGTGTGACAATGTCTGACACATAGTAAATGCTTCATAAATACTAGCTACTGTTATCTCTCTAGTTAATTTCTCACTTCTCTCTCATTTATACTGAGTTCCATCCATAGTGAACCTCTTTCATTTCCTCCTCTCACACATTTTCTCTTATGTTTTATACACCCAGTCTCTCTGGGTGCAACTCCCCCTCCTGCAGCTCTTCAGGTCTCATCCTAAATGCCACATCCTCTGCAAAGTCCTTCTGGCCCCTCCTATCTCCTGTTAGATGCCCTTACTATGTGCTCCTGAAGGTTTTGTATTTTCCCTGACATACACCGATCTGAGTTTTTCATACTTTTTCACTCCTTATTGCTATTTAGTAAATTCTCTTTGAAGAACAACTTCCTTGCTCATCCCTGTATTCCCATGCCTGGCACAGGGCCTAGCAGAAGTAGGCACTTAAAAAAATTGTTATGCATATGAATGAGTGTATCTTTCCTCTCTCACAATACTCTGTGCTCCTCTACAAACTACAGTGGGTGGGAAAGCACCATTTCCCCATATCAGCTATCTGTAAGATAAAGTTAAGAACAAACGTGGTCACACAATACATAAAACAAAGTTAGAACTTATGAACCACAGCCCTTCTCGGTCTTTGCTAAAGCGCATTGTGAATCTCCAAGTTCTGTGTGTGTGGTACGTTTCTCAAAATATCTCCTGCAAGCAGTGTTCTGTAAAAACATCGTGGCACAACTGGTTTAAGGAGATGCCCTCCCCCACTCGAACCTCCAAGTAACTTGGTAGTTGTGGACGGGAGGATCTCTGAAGCACTTATTTCACGCACTGTTTTGGGGTCGGGACACAATGTCGAGGGCTGTTAGTAAGCACAGACATAAATCAACAAACACTGAGGCCCATTAGGGCAAAGCGAACCGTGCAGGGCAACACAGCAACTGCGGACCAGAGGAAGAGAGAGAAGTAGAGCCCATTCTGCCCCTGCGACTTCCACTACGGCTAGTTGGGTGCGCCGCGTCCCCACCTCAAATTTTATGTTCCAGCCGTACCAACGTAAGGCCAGTTTTTCTCGGCCACCGCCAGCTGGGCCTGGTTACTGCCTCCCGACCCCCTGCACTTTCCCGTGACCCATCCAACGCAGTTGGAGCTTGGCTGGGGCGGGGGAGACAGTTTCTTTCTTTCCTTCTTTCCATCAGAGTTTATTTATTTCTGGAGTGTAAACTTTTTCACGTAAACCAAATGAACCTGTTCATTTTAACGCCTCCGCCGAAGGCCCGGTGGGCGCGACTCCCTAGCCCAGAGCACCAACCTACCCCACCGCTTCCTTCCTCGCTCACACCCAGGGCCCTGCGGTTTGGTCTTCACCTGGGACTGCCATGGCGCTGGGGAAAGGATCGCAGCAACCCTAGGCTTTCCAGTGCACGCTCGTTTCCCGCCGGCTGCGCGGACCACGCACGGCGAGGGAGGCCTCTTGCTCCCACCCGCGCCGCGGCACCTCGGTGACGGTGGGGACGGCCCTCGAAGACTCCAGCGACAGCGGAACCAAGCAGCCGCGGATGCCGTTTCCGGGGGGAGTCATGTTGCAGAGCACACAAGGTCCGAACCATTACTGCCAGTTTCGGGGGGATGACTGAGGTCTGCACGCGCATGGAGAGAAGTAAACAACACTGAGACTTAGGAATCGTTCTTTTAAAACTTGTAATAGAAATTAAAGTTACCTATATAGTAACTTGATTATTTTTCTCTTTCCTTTGAGACCATTAGAATCCCCCTTCTTCGCATTAGCGGTGCTCCGGTCCGGGAGCAACATGGCGGCGTCCGTGCGGGGCTAGTTTTGGTTAAAGGTAGCGTTTGGTGGTGTTTTATTTCGGGATCTCTTCAGACTGGAACTTTCCGCGACCTCCGGTCTTAAGGAAGCGTAATAGGTGGATAACTTTAGTGATCGGCCTTCCGCTCTTATCTCCAATTAAGAGCAAAGTCCTGAGCACTGACCAGAATGAGCAACATCTATATTCAGGAGCCTCCCACGAACGGGAAGGTGAGATCCCCATCTAGGATGCCTGGGTTTCCCAAAGTGATACCTCATTGATTAAGGCAGTTCTGGGGTCTTAGGGTTGGAAGAGATCACAAGAAGTCTTGTCCTTTTCCCTGTCTCTGTTCAGGATTGCATCGAAAACCTCCTATTGGCGCTTCTCAGCATATGTATACTTTGAAAAAGTCCTCAAGTAGAGATTTCTCCATCAACCAGCCTGTGGCCCTGTTTCTTGCTTCACCCTAACTCATGCAGGCGTTTTTTAGGGTCTTAGGTAAAAATTCCAGTATGTTTTAAAATTTGACTAATTTTTTATTGATTTGCAGTTCGCTCTCTCTCCATTTATTTTACAACCATTGAACGCCTTCTAGGCACCAGGCGCTGTACTAGGTGCTGGGGACACAAAGACGGATGGAGAAGGTCTAGTTGTTGCCCTAGACGAGTTTATGGTTTAGTGTGGAGGCAGGCAGATAAAGAAAAACCTTATGATATCTCTGGTAGGTGTGCTTATGGAGAGAGAAGCATATGGCTTATGGCAAAACTGAGAAGTGAGCAACTGGGAAAGTAGGGAAAAGCTTCATGAAGGAGGTATCTTTTGAGTTGGTCTTAAAATATGAGGTGATTGTCAGTCAGAGAAAGTGGGGCATGGGAAATGTTCCCACACTGGACTGGGAGAATGATTTGCTGATTGATAGTCAAGGTATGTAAATTCTCCTCCACAGTGTTTTTATGCAGTATGAAGCAGAAAAGTCAGTAACAGAATAAATATCACCTAAAGTGATCTAAGACCTAGTCTGTATCACATACAGAACGTGATGAGCCAGCATATTGTAGAAAATAGTGGGACTGAAACAATATAGTTGAATTAGGGTAAACTTTCAAGTTTACATCAGATGTAATTCTGTTGCATGACTATAATGATATACTTATGCAATCTTTTGTTGTTTGATAATTGGTAATATAATGAGGGCAATTTGAAAACAGTAACAGAAATTTTGTAATTGATAGCCCCAGCAAAAATTTTAGTAGGTATTTTGGGCAAAGCAGTTCTTTTAATTCTTTGTTTGAACTTTTCTCCACTCCTTGCCCCTACCCCACATCATTGTGAAAACCCAGAATACCCACCTCTTTTATTTCCAAATCTTTTTTTGAGGGTGATAATCATCCCCAGTTGATAAATGCTGGTAGGGATTGCATATACCGCCTATACTGCTAGGAAGGGTCTTTACACTTGCTGTTCCTTTCTCTGATATACTCTTTGGCCTGCTCAAACGTCACCTTAACAGAGGCCTGTCTTGTCTACTCTTTATAAAATAGCAAACCTTATTCATGTCCTGCATCTCAGCACTCCCTGGTCCCCTTAATCTCTTTAGTTTTTTTCTGTAATATGTATTATTAATTGTTCATTGTATCCTCCCCCGTCTTCCTCACCCCATATATGCAAGCACTATGAAGGCAAAGACAAGCATCTAGAATGGAGCTTGACATGTGATAGATGTTCAAATGAATGGATGAATCAATACTATATTTCTCTTCTGAGAAGTATTAAGCTTCAGTGAGTTTGAGGTTATACTGCTGCGGTCAAGGGCAGACTCCTCTGGAGGAAGATTTTAAATGATCATAAAGATGAAACCTTTAACAAAGATACATGCCTGAACAGGAGATCTTTCATTCAACAAATATTTATTGAGCATCTAGTACGTTCCAGGCTCTATGTTCAGTTTTAAGGATACCAATGAAAAGAAAAGCCAGCATTGTCCTTATTATAATGGAGTCAGTTGAGTGAAATATATGTTGACCAAATAATCAAGCAAATAAGTATATGCAAACTTTGATAAATACTGTCCTTCTAAACAGAATTGGGCTGAAGGAGAACATCAGGCATGGCTCAAGTCTTACTTCTAAAACAATTTGGGATTATTTCCAGCATAAGGCTGATGGAAGACATTGAAGCTGCAAGGTTCTGTACCATAGAGAACATGGCAAAAATTTTTGCCTGGAAAGAATTCAGAACAGATGTAATAACAACTTTCCTTAATAAATATTTGTTTTTCGTTTGTTTGTTTTTGTTTTTCTTTATTGATTTTAGGGAGAGGGAGAGGGAGATAGAAACATTGATGAGAGAGAACATCAGTTGGTTGCCTCCTGCATGCCCCACAGGGGATTTAGCTCACAACATGGGCATGTGCCCTGACCAGGAATCAAACCAGTGACCTCTTGGTGCATGGGTCGACGCTCAACCATTGAGCCACACCGGCCAGGGGCTCAATGAATATTTGTTTATTGCTTATAGTCAAATGTTATATTAAGTACTGAACGGATGTAGAGATTTTCACAATAAATGGGAGAAAATTTCTCTCTTCAAAGAGTGTGATATCACCTTAAGAAGTAATTGACACACACATTTCAACACTGGTTGATGCCTGGCAATTGTCCATTTGCTGTTATGTTGTAACTCTGGCCTCTGAAAATGAGGCACAGAAATCAACTACTTGATAGAAATTTTCTTATCCACTGAAGATTAAATTTCCACATATTATAATCATTTAACCTTAGTTATATATTAGCATATTTATTTTTAAGTAACATTTTACAATTAAGGTATTCTTTTATTTGAGAGCTTAAGAAAAGGAGACAGTAATGCCTGACAGAAAGTGATGGCCAATAGAATGTATGGCCAAAGGTGGAGGGAGCCATGTGCCTTTTTTAATTCAGTAACTTACCAGTGAAGATTAAAAACCCTTGCCCTGACTGGTATGGCTCAGGGGATAGAGTATTGGCCCTTGGAGCAAAGGGTCGTGGGTTCGATTGTTGGTCAAGGGCACTTACATGGGTTGCAGGTTTGATCTCCAGTCCTGATCAGGGTTGTGCGGGAGGCAACAATGTGTCTCTCTCACATCAATGCTTCTCTCTTTCTCTCTCTTCCCCTCTTCACCCTTTCCTTCCACTGTCTCGAAAAAGCAATGGAAAAAATATCCTCAGGTGAGGATTAACACCCCACAAAAAAGAAACTCTGGTAAACAAGGAGGCCCAACCATATATTCATTCTTTTTACAAGGTGTAATTGTCCAAAAAAATTGTTTGAAAATAATAATGACAACAATAATAGCTGCCAATTTTTGAGCATTTACTGTTTGTCAGGTGCTATTCTAAGCAGTGTATGTATAATAACTTATTTTGTCATTACATCAAACCTATGTGGTTATTATTATTCCTGGTTTTAGGTAAGGAAATTTAGTTACAGAAATGTTAGACATCATGCCCAAGGTAATGAAAGCTACCTTACCCTTTGTAAGCAGAAATTCAAATTTGGGCATCCTGACTCCAGATCCTGTGGAGAGATTTGGAATGATGGGGCTTAGGTTGTTTTTTGTTTTGTTTTGTTTTAGAGCAGTAGTTTCTAAACCAGCAAGTGCACACTTCAGGGTGTGTTGCAAAACCATCCAAGAGATATAGGGAGATCCTCTACATACTTCTGTTTGTATTTACTTTCTCCTTTTCTTGTTTAGATGCAGTGTCTTATGTATAAAAAGGAACATATAAATTCAGTTATTCATTCAGTCACTTTTTACATATGATGATATAAGTTTTCCTAGTGACTTGCTAAATGGCTTTACATTCCATGGCATCTAGATGAACTGAACCAGCACTGAAAGTTTAGATTGAACGTAAGCAAACCATAAGAAAGTGGTAGAGCTGATGCCTCAGCATGGGAAGTCTTTCAAAATTAGAAGTGATTATGAAAATCACTTGAAATACTGGTTTCTTTTCATTATTGTTAATGGTGAGCTTTGTCTTAAATGTACAATGTGCCTTGATATAGTTAACAGAAAGAATATAAAGCAATTGTGATTTTCAAGACATTTAAAAATTAAGTGTATAGAACAGGAAGATGGGCCTTTGCAATTTGAAAGCAACATTATGCTAAGTGAAAGAAGCCAGACACAAAAGGCTCCACATTGTATGATTCCATTTATATGTACTGTTCAGTAGGCAAATCCATAGAGACAGGAATTCGATTAGTGGTTGTCAGGGGATAGGAGTAGGAGGAAATGGAGAGTGACTACAGTGGTCACAGGTTTTCTTTTGGGGGTGATGAAATGTTCTAGAAATAGATGGTTGCAGAACTGTGGCTTATACTAAAAACCACTTTAAAAGAGTGAATTGTTTGGCATGTGAGTTATATCTTGAAAAAGCTATTATTTTAAAAAGGTTTCATTGTACAATTAGGAAAGAAAATTAAGAATTATTTTAAATAGTGTTTTTATATAATCCTTTAATTTTTTTTTTATTTTGTGTGACTCTTATAATATAATACTAGAATAATATATTATAAAATGTATTTAAATATACATATTTTGGGTATGTGTGCTCTAAGTCGTGACCTCCCTTCCCACCTATCTTTTCTTCTTTGCTAATAAGGATGCACACTTATGAAAACTTTGGAGATCACCACCTTAGGATTGCAAGAACAAGAAAAAGTGTCTAGGTTCCCTTTACTAATCAGGCTTTTTTTCAAGTTGATGAGGGCATAATGAGGTAAGGCAGGACATTGTCTTTATAGGTATACTGTACTTTTAAGATGGGTTGTACATCCCACCTCATGGAAAATCAGATGTTACATAGTATTGTTAACAGATGTTACACAATCTGAGGTAGAAGAAGTTAGCCTCTTAGAATCCCAAGTGTATACTTCTCAGGAGAATGAATCTAGTTGGGCTAGCTTGTCCCACCATACATAAGAGATGTGGATTAGCTGTTTTGGACATTGTATTATGTATTGTTTCATGCCAGGCCTGGTTAAAAGGCCTTGCACATGTCCAGCCAATATATGATCGCTTTTATTTATTTCTTTAAAAGAATTTTTTAATTGTTTTTAGAGAGGAAGGAAGGGAGAGAGAGAGAGAGAGATCGATGTGAGAAAGATACATCCATCGGTTGCCTCCTGCATGCGCCTGGACCAGGGATTGAACCCGCAATCTAAGTATGTGCCCTGACCAGGAATT